AGCTTTAAGGGGCTGGTGAGATGGCTCAGTGGTCTAAAGCACCTACTTAAAACAAGCTCAGCAAAGTACAGGGACCACGGTTCAATCCCCCAGCACCACATGCCAGCCAGCCCGCCCCACCCCCTGGTGGGCTGAGCTGGCCACACACACACACACACACACACACACACACATTAAAAAAATAATAAAAAATTAAAAAAAAAATAAATCCAGTGTCTTAAAGTATTCTCCCAAATAATTATCAGACACTAAGTTTGATTGCTATTGCATTGAAAAAATAAGACCTTAATTAAAAATTATATAATGTTAGCTTTCTGAATCTATTATGTATTATTAAAGGATTGCTATCATTTGAAGAAAAGTTTTTTTTTTTAAAAAAAAAAAACACTTTGTTGTTTTTTAAGACAAGGTCTCACTATATAGTTCAGTCTGACCTTGGACTCACTTGTGCCCCAGGCTGGTCTCCAGCTTCTCAGGGATCCTCCTGCCCCAGCGTCTGTAAATGCTAGGATTACCAGGTGTGGGCCACCACGCCCAGCTTAATCTCTTTTTATTCTTAAGGTTATTTTGATTTCTTTGGGTACTACTGATTGAACAGAGGGCCTTCGAACTGAGCTGCATCCCTGGCCTTTTTTCATTTTAATTGAGACAAGATATCATTAAATTGCCCAAGATGGGCTCAGATTTGACAATCCTGCCTCAGCCTCCTAGAGCGCTGGGATTGTGGGAGTGTGTCAACATGCTATGCTCACCTTGATAGGTTTGAAATGACAACTCTACCATTTTGAGAGCCTGAATTAAGAAAAATTTGTTAGGAGCTGAGTGTGGCATTGAGGGAGACTGAAGCAGAAGGATCATAAGTTCAAGCCCAGCCTAGTTAATATAGCAAGTTTTTCTCAGTATGAAAAAGGGCTGGGAATATAGCTCAGTGTGAAGGCTCTGGGTTTAATTCCCAGCACCAAACCAAAAAACAAAAAAGGAAGAAGGAAGAAAAAGAAACTGAAGACTAGCTGAGTATGGCTTAGGAGGGTACTCACTAGGGTGCCCATAAACTTGGGCTACAAAAGAGCTTCCTGAAGCTGTGTCCATGTGTACTTACCTGATGCTCTTCTTGCCTTTCTAGGTGATTGACATCTCCATGATCCTCGCAGAAGCCATCAGGAGAACCCACAATGGGGAGTCTGTTTCCTACCTGTTCAGTCATGTCCCTTTATAACGGAGTAACTTCTAGAGTTTTTTAAACATGAAGTGAACCCACCCCCTGTTTTCCGTTGATATTCTATGTCAAATTTGGAAGACCCAGCTTGCTCTTAGCTCTCCACATCCCACATTAGGTACATTATTAGAGTTTATCCTAAATTGGGACAAGCCAGATTGAGACTGCTGGGATTTCCTATCTGTATTGCCTCATTCTGCCTTGATGGTTTTGCGAGCCTTGCAGCATTAACTAGAGCTCAGTT